GATTCTTTTCTTTCAATTGCCATTTATATATTAAAAACAAAAGTTGGATGAAAAGTTATTTCCCAAAATTACTATTTGATATTACTTCTTTCTTTCTCTATAATGTAATAGTGAAATTATATATGATGTACTTTTTCGGTTTGTTGCACAAATTTCAAAAAATTCAGGTACGAAAACTAGGACTTTTCGAAGCAAGTAATATATTTTACTTTCGTAAAATATGTGAAGCAATAGGCTTATTATCATTAGCAATATTTTTGCAACTGCAACAACGATTCATCTTATCAGCACTGATCCTGGGATTAGCTTGGCAGCAATTGGGATGGTTAATTCACGAATATGCACATCATCAACATTTTAAAGTAATCGTTGTTGTATTATCTTATTATTCAATTCGTCATGAAATCTATTATTCAAAAAGTTCATGAATTCTAAAAACGAAAAATCTTGAAGGCAAATTTATAATCCTATAATTGCATAAAAATTTTAAGAATCACTACTGGAATGATATAGTATCATATATTGTTGGAAATTTACTGCAAGGTTTCTCAAGTGGTGGTTGGAAAGAACAACATAATATGCATCATGCAGCAACAAATATTATCGGTCGTGATGGTGACATTAATTTAATGCCATTTTGGGCTATTGTACCAACAGATTTGGAAGTTAGTATATTTAAAGTATTTGCATACGAACGGTTATTTTATGATATTTGAAAATTAGGCCGTATAATAATAATTCTTCCTGAAATTGCACCAATTTGATATCTGTTCAATTATTTTTTTCTTTTAATAATTCACAATCAATTTGCAGCAAATACAAAAAAGTTGGTTATTAAAAGTCATACCATATCAACATATTTATTGGACTATAGCTTTCCCATTCTTACGAATTTCATGGCTTTTGCAATCGATCACTTTTGTTGCAAATATGCCAAATAGTCCTTTTGAGGTAATACAATGTTTCTCGCACGTAACGCTGAACATTTGGCTAACATTTGAATTTTTAAATAATTTTTTGAATTTAAATAAATTTAAATTAAAAAAAAAAAATCTAAACATTATATTATTATTATTGCAGATTCATAGGAAGAGGGCAATATTTGAGCGTTCGATGCTATTATTACATTGGTGCATGGTGTTCATTCAACTTTATTACTTACCAACATTTCAAATACGATTAATTTATTTCATCATATCACAATTATTCGCTGGATTTCTCTTAGCTCATGTTGTTACGTACAATCATTACTCTACTCCAAAATTTAAATGTAAATAATTTATCAACAAATAAATCAGATGTTATCTTAAGCAATGAAATAATTTAAAAGTTTAAATATCAAATTTACAGATAATGATCCAATTTTGACGAGTTATGTTTGTTTACAACTTTATACAACCAGAAATATGCAGCCAGGAATTTTAGTTGATTGGTTATGGGGTGGATTAAATTATCAAATTGAACATCATTTATTTCCAACTATGCCAAGACATAATTTGAAAACGGTATGTCCTTTTTTCTTTGGCCTCAAATCTCTTTTTAATATGTTGAAAATTTTGTTGAACAATAGCTATTATATAAGGAGAAATGTTATTTTAAAATTATACACAAAAAAAAAGAAACGAAGGAAAAAATTTGTTTCAATTTTAGGTGATGCCATTAGTGAAGGAATTTTGCATGGAAAATAATTTACCCTATATGGTAAATGGATATTTTGAAGGATGGCTTATGGAAATTCAACAAATGGCTGCAGTTGCAAAATTAGCACAACGATTTTATATCAAAACTAAAGCATATGAAAAATGAAAAATGAAAAATGAGAAAAAAAAGATAACTGTTAAATTATCAGCAATGTGGAAAATGTCATATGTTGATGATGATGATGATGATAATGATAAATTGTAATGAAATGAATATTATAATAAAATTATTATTATTATAAATTTCTCATAATAATTTTTTAATGAATTAAAATGTTGAATAAATTTTTTTTTAAAAAAAAAAAAGAAATATTTACAATGATAAAAATTTCTGCAAAATATCATAAATTCCTATCACAGAATGAAATATTTTCAACGGAATAATTTTTCTCTCTCATTATTCATTTTCTTTTTTTTTCATTTTTAAATTTTCATAATTTATAAAATTTAATTTTTCGAAAATTAAAATAAAATAAGCTATAAATGATACTATTAACAATAATTGATAATTTTATCAAATTTTTTTTTTTTTTTTTAAATTATATTTTAATAAAATTATTAATAACGGATAAGCTTTTTAAGTAGCATACATATTGGACGAATGTATGTCATTGATTACGAAAAACGAAGAAATGTTTGATCGAAGATGAAAAAGTTTCACCCATGAAATATATGCTGGGATAGTTCGAAGACCAATTTTAAAAATGAAACCCTCTATGTATCATCAGCACTCCTATTATCATCATCATTATCATTATCGATATCATTCTCTACCTCTCTTACACACCCCTCTCGCTTCTTTTTCATATACCTTTTTTTTTTTTGATCCTTTCATAACAGTTTATCATCGCTTATCTTATTCTGATTAATTTTTTTTTTTTTAATTAAACATTTCATTAATGATATCATCGTAAAATCTTTCACTGATAATTTTGTGCTGGAATCATATCAAATATTTTATGATCTAAATTTCTTTTCTTCATCCCTCCATTTTCACCCTACTCTTCATTCTCTCTCTTTTTTTCCTTAACCTCCTCTCTCTAATATCATTTACACTTTTTTATCATCATTATGATATCATGCACTACGATATCATTTAATATATCATCATTTTTAGTTTTAATTATCTATTCTATCAATTTTTCTTTTCGTAATTAAATTAGATATTCTTTCTAAATTCAATTCAAATATATTTGCAAAATTTTGAAATATTTATTAATGAAATAAATTATAATTTAAAGTTGAAAGATCATTTATGTGATAGTTTAAAAAATTTTTTAACGCTATAATTTGAAAATGGCTGCTTTCTTTTTTGACAATCTTCCAAATATAATTTGAAAATATTTTGCTAATATGAAATTATAATTTAAAATTGATAATATTATTAATTAAATTATCTAAAAAATTTTTTAATTCATAATTTCAAAATGTTTTATATTGGCTATTTATCAAATATTTTCAAAAATTCTTTTTCTTTTATTTTTACTATAAATAATTAAATACCTTTAATTGTTATATTAAAGTAAGATATTTATATGTATTGGAATATTATTTTGCATATTTTTTTAATTGAAATATCATTGATCGTAATTTTGCATTTAAAATGTTATTCTTCATTTTCTCCAAGCATTGATAATTTGGAAGATAATTGAAAATAATATTTAATGCGGTTGAATTTTAATATAAACAGTGTAATTTAAATGTTGATCGATTATTTCTTTGAAATAAAATCACTGCATTCTCGTTATTTATGATTTATCTTTGATAAAGGAAAAAAGCAGAAGTTGTAAATCGGCGAATGAAATAAGTTGGAAAAGTTATTTAACGACAGTTAATCAATTTTATTTTTAGGTAGCAAATAATGGATGGCGAAGATAGGACCGATTTTCGATTAAAGATTGACGATAAATGGTTATTAATAACAAAAGATTTTCAAAAAAGGCATCCAGGTGGAAGCGTCATCACTCATTATAGGTTTGTCATAAAGCAAATTAATTTTATTTTGAAAATTCATGAACAAATAAATTATAGCATAATGAACTATAATCATCCAATATGTGAATAGATTATCCGGTTTTTCTATTAAATAATCAGGAATTTTATGTGAATAATATTAAATGTTAATTTAAAAAAAACGGAATTACTGGAATTATTAGATCAATAAAATATGACAAAACTGTGTTGAAGAAAATTTCAGGAATGCTGATGCTACACAAGTATTTCATGCTTTTCATAACGGAAGCAAAAGTGCTTATAAGCAACTGGAACTGCTTAAGAAACAGAATTGTATCGATATGATGAATAGGCTTAATATCATCAACGGTTAGAATTGTTGTCATTTTTTGATTCTGATAAAAAATCATGAGATTTAGACTTTCCTAATAATGTTAAAAGTTAGAAACTTCATTATACTCTGTATATAATCATTCAGAATTGTTAATTTTAAATAATAATTCAGATGACAATTGCATCGATGAAATAAATGTATCACCTTATAATCTTCCAGAAACAAAGGTATTATTATTTAAAACACCTGTCAAAATTTGTGAAATTAAAATGAGCTCATTTAGCATTAAAATTAGAATAAATGATTGTTTAGAAAATGATTTCATCTTTTAGGAAAAGCAAATAGTGGAAAATTTTGTTGCTTTGCGAGAAGAACTCATAGCTGAAGGATTATTCGAAGTGAATCCAACTTACTACATCTATAAGTCTGCTGAAGCATTTAGCTTATTGTTTTTCGCCTTCATCTTACAATATTTTACATGGTGCTTATTGTTTTCAATTTACTTGATATTAAACATATTATTTCCGGTTCTATTATAAAATCATTTATTGGAAATGCTACGAAGATTGGCTAAAAAAAACGATGAAACCTTTCAGGTATCTGACGTCAGCGTTAATTTTGGCACTTTGTTGGCAACAATTTGGTTGGTTAACCCATGATTTCTGCCATCAACAACCAAGCAACAATCGTTATAACAACAATTTATTATCTTTAATTTTTGGTAATATTGTGCAAGGTTTTTCGCGTGATTGGTGGAAGGAAAAGCACAATACCCATCATGCTGCAACGAACATTGTTGGACAGGTTAGTATTTTATATTCATATCTTTGCATCGTAAAATTATTCTTTATATCTTGATATCATACCTTTCGTTTTTATTTTCAGGACTGTGATATCGATTTAGCTCCTTTGTTAGCATTTGTCTTAGATGATTTGAAAAAGTACAAAACTTTGTTCGAACAAGTCATCTCTAAGGTTAATACATAATTTTACATGTAATATTTAAATTGTTGTATCTAATATTTTCCGTTTTTAGTATTAATCTTCTCCAGTATTTTCTTTGTTTTATTGACTTTTTGCTAATCACAATTTATGAACGTTTGTTTTTTTTTCAGGTGATCCCTTATCAACATTTCTATTTCACGCTTATGTTACCTTTCTTACGATTCTCCTGGACAGCGCAATCCATATTGTTTGTTATTGGAGCATCATACAGCCAGTACAAGCAACATGTCATCGATGCTCCTGCTGAACAGGTCATTTTAAATTGGATAGTCAAGGATTACTTTTGAAGTGTAATGTCGGAAGCAAGCAAAAGAAGGAATCATACAAACATATTTGAAATTGAATTTTGTGAAAACATTGACTTAATCTTTCTTCCATGAAGATAAACAACTAATCTTTTTGAAATTACTCAAAATTTAAATAATTATTTGCAATATTCAGGTTTGCATCTTACTGCATTGGTCATGGGTTATCTTGCAACTCTGGCTTCTTCCTACAGGATCAATAAGAATTCTTTATTTTGCAATTAGTCAGTTAGGCGCAGGATTTCTTATCGCTCATGTCGTTACTTACAGTCACAATTCCGTTACTAAATTCCCTTGTAAGTTGATGCGGTAAATGCTTCATGAAATAAGCATGCATACAGTAAAATTAATAAACAGATATCTGGAATTAAGTGCTAGAAGTAAGTAGCATGTATGAGGAAGAAGTGACCAGATTGATTTGAAATATAAATAATCAAATGGTTGTCATCGTGAACTTTCTTTTATCAAGTTGACGCTATGAAGGCATCAACTATCACCATCTACAATAGTTAAGTGACTTTAACACTGATACTGACTATGGTTAACTGCCCTTAAATCATTTCTGTTTCAGATCAAAGTCGTTTGTTGAATAATTTCCCGTGTCTCCATATACTGACAACTCGAAATATGTTACCCTCTGCGGTTGTTGATTGGTTTTGGGGTGGCCTCAATTATCAGGTAACCTTTGGCAGTGAATTCTTTTTTGTTGTTTAATAAATTTGTCACACATTTTGATAAGTATTTCGACATTCCAAGAAAATGTTACTCGAAACTTGATGAAAACAATATACGCTTGAATTATTTCAGATTGAGCACCACTTGTTCCCTACAATACCCCGTGCGAATTTACCGCAAGTTTCAATAAAGGTCAGAAAATATTGTGAAATGAACGATCTCCCATATTTAGTGGATAGCTACTGGACAGGATACAAATTAATTCTGCATCAGCTCAGAAGTATTGCTGATTCGGTAAGCAAGATTACATGCCCCTATAGTGATAATTTATGTGATGATTAAAAGCATTCAAAAACCTTCTATTAAGCATTTTTCAGATGCATGAAAAAAAAATTTCATTTCCTAATATGATGTACATAACATAATCAAAATTAATTGAAGCTTAATGATAAGAGGTGCCGAAAATTATGCTACGAATTTGCAAAATGCACGAAAATATCACCAAAAGACCTATACTTCTAGATTTTAATTTTGAAATATCTCAGTGTACTTTCTAGTATTTTGAAAGAAACTGCCAACTAAGAACTCATTATTAGACCACCAACGTCAAATATAGATGGGTCTGAATAGTGAAACTGAAGTGCGAATTTCTTCGAAACTTCTTCAAAAAAGAAGAAATAAAGAAACCAACATGAACATGGATCCTTTGGATCAAATCAAACAACGTATATCACTGACCTAATGCACAATGATGACTATTAATTTGTGCTAAACGGCAAATGAACAAGCGACAGTACACATTAAGCATTTATAAAAGCATACTAATATAAGCGTTTATAAAAATATTGACTTTTATGAGAGCTTATAAAGAACAGTAAATATCAAGTTCTAGGATCACAGTAACCACGAAAGTGATAGTAAAATACAAATAAAGTATACAATACAGTCTGCATTTTATTTTCGTCAGTGCATATAAGTGTAACAGTGAAATAAAAAAAACTGCTCCTTATGAAGCACTTCGAGAACAAGAAGAGGATGTAAGTATGATACATTATATAACAATCAATCCATCAATCCAAGATATTTTTACAGCTAAAAGATTAAAACTAAAAATATATTTGATACAAGATTGGCCTAATCTAGCACTTAATTTAAACAAAAATAGTAACCAAATGTAACTAGATTATGATTTTAGCTTCAAAAATTCACGAAATGCAACAAATAAATATACCCAGTAAAAAAATCGACAGGGACTCATATATCTGATTAGCAAGCTTAATATGTACAATATCAATCACTTAACAATTAAGATAGGTATAAATACCAAACAAAAAAAAGTTGTTGTGTGATCAGCTAACTGCTTCACTTAGATACTGACAATAGAAAAAATATGCTTCGTTGTCTATGTTCGTAAGCGTTTAATGTTTAATTCCAAATCGCCATAAATCAGATGGGTTGTCAGCGCTGAATATAGAAGCTAATAATGCCAAAATTCCCGGAATAACTATTGCCGGTGTCGATTTTTGCCGGATTAAGGTAATCAATTCAGTAACGAAAAAACCGAAAACATAAGCGTAAAAAGATAGGACGAATACTCCAATATCGTACATTTCCGCAAATTTCAATATGATATTTAGGAAAATTCCTACAAAATACTTGCAATAGTATTAATTAAAGTATTTGCTTTCAGCTAATTCTATTTAATATCTGATATCATCAAAATTCTGACGAGTTGGTAGATCATGCAAACCACAACGATCTACTACATATTTTATCAATAACATATAAACATTAATAAAACAAGCAGTGATTTAGGTTATTTCAAAAGTAAATGAATTCATATTAGTTATATGAAACTACTTGCGAGTAGTTAGATGAACTGAAGAAATAAAAAGTGATTTAAAACACAGCTGAAAATTACCTGGGACTATAATGTCAACAGTTGAAATCCTAGCAGGCTTTCTTTTTTTTCCCAGTGGAATGGTTAACATAACTGGTGAATGGGGGTGCTTCGTCACCGTTGCTGGAATTAGAAAACAAAATGTTCATAATTTATTTGGCCCTATTGATCACCATGAGGAAGAGTTCTACGTATTCTTGATCGTCTTCTACCGCACAAAAATCCAATTTTATGGATCGTTCTTTCATATGAGCGCATATCTCATTTCCTACCCTTTCTTTCAACTAACCAAAGCGTAATAATTATGAAAAGTACAGCAATATCGAGATAGAAAGAACTAACAGAAAAGATCGACACAGTAAAACCAGAATATGTCAAACAAAATCATCCCAAGGAGAAATAAGAAGCCAGCGAAAAAACTTGCTGTCTAAAAAAAAATGCCGTTATTGTATACCATAAAAAAGTTATCTAATGGATCTTATGAATGGGTGAAATAAAATTATACTCAACCTGTAAAAACTTCGTAAGCTCATCCGACCTCCGATCTACAGTATTCATTAAGCTTAATGCGCTTGTACGAATTTTATCTTTCAAGCAAATACTCGACAAATCGATTTCAGGAAAAAAACAATTAGATCAAAATAGTCAAAAGTTAAAATGTAGCCATCACCTCATATTACATCAATCATCAAAACTCAGCCCAATACTTCACAAAAATTTTCATGAAACCTTCACATTTTACAAAACTTTTTTCTTTTTTTAAATTATTCAAACTTACTTCAGTACGCGAAATGATAACGTAAGATGTTGCAATACCCAAAATATCGTTAACAACCCATGTATACTTCACCTCATGGAAAATCCCCAATATTACAGCGACGACCATAGCCAGTTGCTTCATTCTAGGATGATGATAGTAAAATGTGCGATCTGTAATTTATTTAAGCTGAAATGTACTAAAAAAAATGATAAGTTTAGATCAAGGTCAATCTAAACACCAACGCTAAAAAAATAAGCGAGGACTAAAGGGAACATATTTGACATTTGAGGAAAATATACAATGTTAGACACTCATTATCCAAATGAACGAAAAAAGATGAATCTGATCCGTCCTTTCGAGCAACAACTACTTATAATCCAATTTCTCACTTCCTTTTCTTAATATAATGATATAAAACACATTTAATAGAGCTCTTCAAGACTAAGAAAGCCCATTTAAATTTATGAGAACTCCTCAAAACACTTTCCTGTATATTTTACAACACGATTAGAAGTAGGATGACTTCAATTTTAACAACTCGTTTCAAATACTTATTAAAGAAGATTACTGCACTTTGTTAGTGAGGCTTCCCGTTTTGAAGAGAGGATAGAATTAAGTAAGGTCACGCTATGCTTTCAGATAAGAATAACTGATTGTAGAGATTAAGGTCAAAACTTACAGAATTTACTCTCAAATATTTCAATCAGTGCAATTTGTATAGCAATAACACCTAGCCAGAGCGGTATATGAATACTGATAAAACGACCCAAAATGTCCAAAACAGACTGCTTTGACATTTTAACCGACGAACAACGCATAGTATTTACTATTTCATCCACTGCTGGCACGAGAGAAACCTGAAAAAACAGATAAATTAAAATAAAAAATGAGAACTCTAAAAAATTTTAACTAAAATCTTACTCAATAATCTGCCTGATATCTCCCACAACAAACCTTGCTCATTTTTCTGTATATCTCAGATCGTTTACGTTCAATAGCTAGTTCATTTTCGCTTAGGATAGACGATTTTAGTAACGATCCTGCTCTAACGGATAAATTTTCTTGATGAATTCCATCAGTAGGAGCTGCTTCGTCAACGTCTTCACTTTCTTCCTCGGTTTCTGCAAAAAAAGAAAAACGATATTTTTGAGATGTAACAACTGAAAACCGCTAACCTTTAGTCAACTGTTCCTCAAATGAAAAATTTGGCCAAATTCCACAACTAAACAAATATTCCTCTAAACCGCCCACATTTTTCATTTTTTCCGACATACCTTCTCTTAATATAGTCTTCATTTCTACATCGTTTTCAAAAATAAGAGGATTATTGCATGCAATAAAAATATTATGATTAGTATAACAAATTTTAGCAATCACACCCTGTTCAGAGTAACGATAAATTCAATATGCACCGAAATTCTTAATCCAATATTTAGTTAAATTCCAGTATTAAAATAACAGAACCTACGTTTTGTCATTTCCTACGCGTAAAATTTAGGAATTTAAAAAATTTTCAAAATGAGCAACAATACAAATTACGATTAATGTTTCATGATAGTGAAAAAATTTACTGTCTGGAACAGCTGATTCTGAAATATCTTCCAATTTTGTAGGTGTTTTTTCCATTAGTTGATATGATATACTTGTTGTTCGTAACTGAAATTGCTGCTGCTTACAAATCAGTATGTAAGGTAAGGAATAATATATGTAAGGAATGATTTTGAAATACAAACGTGAATTTCAAAGAAAAACCGATTCATCGAAATGAATTTGCCAAAAGTTTACCTTGGGTCGTTTTTGTTTTGTCACTTTTTCTTTCATATCATTATCATCAGACAGTTTTAAAGTATGATGTAAGATAATCAACAAAACTGACAGCACTATTGGGGTGGCAACTGCGCCTTCATTTCCTAGGAATACGACTTTTTTTATATCACGCTGAAATGAATTTTAAAGTTGACTTGAATCTTCAAATACAATTTAAAGTTTGATTAGAATTATAAAATGATGCATATTCAATGTGAGATACTTCAAAAAAGAAAAAAATTGAACCTCAAAGAAATATATGGAATAAGACCGTCGACATCCGGTATAAACAATAACTGCTGCAATCAGAAGCATTATATTCCAAGCCGTAAATATGATATAGTCCATCTCTTCTAGGGATAGATGCAAAATTTTTTATGTTGAAATTCAAACATATAACACTTTTATTTATTCAACGCAATCGAATACGTTTATCCTTCTCAGTAATAATTTTTGAAAAATTTTCCATTGTGCATCAAATTTCTCAACTATAAACAAACCATATCAGGATAATGTGTGAAGTAAACTTGTAAATTAAATCTTCATAAGGAAGGAAAATTATTAATGATCCATAATATAGAGAAAAGAGAAGAAAAATACTCTATTTTTATCATTTAATCTAAATTATACAACAAGAAGGAAAGAGGAGAAAGAAGAAAGATACTAATCCATAAGAGGACGGCGAAAGGTATATATAGTGTAAGGAAAAAGGAGGGAGAGGGAAAGAAAGTTATCTAAAAAACCTGGCAACATAGAAAATTTGAGAAATTTGTTCTATATAACTACAACTATTTAATATAAATTAACTTCAAGTTTAAAAATTAAAAGAAAAGAATAACAGCGAGTAAAATGAAATGAGATTTTATGATAACAAATTGAAATAAACGACGAGAAATGAGAGAGAAGAGAGAGAAGAGAGAGACATCAAAAGATTACATCTGATATATCTCAACAAAACTGTCCACTAATTATTAAATGAAGTTCACAATGAATGGCCATGGTCATTAACGCTATTGGTTAACATCACAACCTTTTGTTGATCATATTAAAGCGCAAAACATTTACTCATTCATTCTTATTGACCCATATACCTGCACTCGAATGTACACAGACACAGACACAGATACACCACACATACACATGTTTATATACATATATTAAATACATATAACATGATTGCTAAAATGAGGAAATTGCGAGTGAGATAGCATGCAGTGCAAGCAGGCATTTTTAATGTGTATTATAAAAGATCGGATAAAGATTGGTGTGTGTGTTAAAGTTTTCACTTGAAATTTCGCAAGATTTTCTTTTTCAAATGAGATTATAGGATGATGAAAATATCTCAACTTACCCTAAGTGACAAATGATGTCAAATTATTACCCTCCTACGATATAAACAACATAAAATGAAAAATAAAAGAAGAGAATGGATTAGAAGGAAGAAAGGATAATAAGAGTTAAAGCAAATAATTAAATTAAAATTGTTCTAAAACAAATAATCCATCCTCTGTTGTTATTATTATCTATGAGTAGTACTAGAGAGATGAAGATGAATTCTATTTACAAATGATAGTTTTACACATAGAAAAAAAATTGCGAGATAATTAATAAAATTATTGAATAATGTAGTTTTTTTTTTTTTTAAATTTGATTCAAATGATAAATGATAAAGTGAAATATTTTTAATTCATTATTTCAACATTAAATAGAAAATTAATATAACTTTGAATTTTCTTAATATTCTTCTAATGAAAAAATTTTCCCAATTAACTAATAGATAATAGTGATTTTAAAAGCGATAATAGTGATTAATAGTGATAATAGTGATTTTAAAAGCGATAGTAGTGATTAATAGTGATAATAGTGATTTTAAAAGCGATAATAGTGATTAATAGTGATAATAGTGATTTTAAAAGCGGAAAAAAAAGCATCATCATTCTTACTTTATAACTATCATAAATTATATTTGATGATTGCATGATGAATTTTCACTTTAACTATAGCTAATCGAAAGAAGTTGATACATGATAAGCGATCATGCTGAAAAAAAAAAAGAAAGAAATTAATGAAGATAAATTGTTTGAATAATATCGCAATAAAGCAAGATACATCTTGCTTTTGTCTTTTTGTTCGAAAATTATTAATGAATGAAAAGATTGTATTGTTTGTAACAATGGAATCAATTTAGCATTAATTAAACAAATGAATGTAAAATTTCATCTTATACTAAATAGTTGAATAATTTTCAACTTAATAATTAAACTATTTTTACGCTTATTTCCTATCAAACATTAAAAAATAAATGAATAGATTATAATGAAAATTTCAGTTTTTCCTAATTTGATCATAAAAAATTTGATAACAAAGAAATTTTACAACGATATTTGTTAGAGAAATAAATTATGACTGTCAATTATTTCAAATATGTAAAATTATTTAATCGAAAAAATTTTTCAATTATATTTTTAATCTTAAATTAACTTTTGTTCTTCTATTAATTAAATAACAATGGGAATTACTTACCTCTTTCTCTCTTTGTTTTTCATTTATGAAAATTAGCAAAAATAATGTTTGAGTTTACTAAATTATTATATACGAATAAAAGAAGTAATGATTTTCTCCCTTTTAAAATTTTAATATTTTTTTCCTCTCTTTCTTTCTTTCTTTCTTTTTCTTTATTATTTTTCTTTTTTTTGTCATACACAGCAAGCTGTAATCATTAAAATCGATAGTTTGAAGAGAAATATTAAGGCCTGAAAAAGGAGTTTAGTTGAAGACAGAGATGAGACAAAACGAGAAAAGAGATGAATATATGGGTAAGGCGTATATATTTTAAGCTTATCAATGCTTTTAGAATACCACTTGTATACACAACTTCTACTATCATTTATTTAGGATATTGTCACTTTTATCTTATCCATTTCAATTAGATCGTTCTTCTGACTACTTAGGATGATACCTGTTTGCTTCATTCAATCAATTTTATTTAATTTTCTCCTTATCTATTAATTTATAAAATTTATATATAATTTCTTTCGTTTCAATTTTATACATAATTTTTCTTTTTTTTCCTTTCCAAAATACCGCTTATTAGACAACTTCTATCATTATCACTTAGGATATTATGTGAAATTTCTTTTCAACAATGGATTACGTGAAATTTCAATGTTACATTATCATTTCATAATGTTTTACACGTACGCAACTATCAACACTGAGATAAGTGACACCTATTTCTTATTACTGCACAATCTGCAACATAATGAAAATTGAAGAGTTTCTGGGATAATTGCTGAAAAATACATAGTTTGTTGGATAATCACGATAAACCGTAAAATTCTAAAATTAAAAAATATTGCTCCATTTTCTTGATTCAAAGAAGCAACATTAAAAATATCATCTCTATCAATTGTATCATCCGGAAAAAATAAAACTATAATGAAATTACTTTTCGCCCTTCCAATTTCGTATTCCAAATTTTCAACATCAACCAAAGTCAATCACTACAATATAATGTACATCAAAAAACAACGCATTCGCAATATGCCCCCAAGCCTATGTGAGCAAATCTTTACGTTATTAGCATCTTCGTTGGTGGGCTCTGTGTGATTATTGGTTCCGCTATCTGCATCCTTATCATATCGCCTGATCTTATCAATTCCTACATCTGAAATGGTAGTATTTTATTAATATATCTTACCATAAAACAATATTCTTACCACAAAACAATAAAACTTATAAGTCTTCTCCAATCTTTGACAAACCGATCCGCCATTTAATTCTTATCACTTCCTATTGTCTCTTAAAATATGGCCGATTTTTAACATTTATATCCTCTAATCATTACTTATTTCTAAATATGATTGATTTTATCAAAAAGTTTCAATGATTAATGCGGGATTTTGATATAAATGATTTTCAGGTGGAAATTTTAATCTAAAAGGAGGAAGTACGAAAGAGGAACAGTTTTTTTTATATGTAAATAAGTACCATTTAATTTCATTCACAAATTACTAACTATTTAATATATCATGAGATTATTTTGGTGCAAATCTTTTCAGATATAGCAGTCCAGGAATTGCTCTCTATCGGAGCAAAATGTGGATTTTCTTGGATCAGTTTCGGGAATGATTATGCTACATATATGCCTGAAATATCTCGCTGGGCTGCTGCCTATCATAACTTGTATTTATTCATTGGATATAAATTCCTTATCATTTCATCATAGAATTCTTCTTCCCGGTTTGGACATAATTTGTTGAGCATGTCACATCGTTTTGCATTCCGAATTGCTTATCGGGATATCTCTTCGGAACCGTACAGCGTCATTGTGGAATCTCAGAGGACGAGGAAAATGTTATTGTTCCAGTCATCGGCAATTACGACAGTCTGTGCGGCTTTCCATATTTAAAATAATTGTATTAAAATTCCAAAAAATTGATTCATTCTAGGTTTTCGATACTCGTACGAATTTTCAAAAGTGGAGTTATCCATTTTATTTCGAATTTTCTGATTTTTTTATAGACTCTTGAATATGGATTAGAAAAAAATAAGGCGCTTTTAAAACAGCAATAAAATTCATATTCTAATCTGATTCCAGCAAATGTTCAATCACTGTCGGAATTAAGGAAGAGCTATGCGAAGCTTATGGATGCCAGAGGTTTAGTAGGTGTGCTACGAACGGGCCAAGGTTTCCTTTTCCTCTTTTTTTGTTTTGTAGTAAGATCTCTTAACTATTGGGTTGGGAAACTCCCAAAAATTTGAGATTTTAATTGAGTGATGTTTTTGTATCATTGATAAAATGATAAAACTTCAGACGATGCTTACCTGTTAGCAGTTACTGAGGATGAAAGTGTTGGTGAATTACGTAACTGTAAAATTTATCGAATTTGGGGCGTGAATGCAATATCGCTTAAAGGACCTACCACGACAAATCCAACGGATTCACGTATAAATGATGCAAGTTGTGAAATTAGTTTTAATTGCAACTATTTTAATGAAATCCAGTTTCGTAAAGTGAATTATGATGTACTGAGATGTAAAGAATACTTGATTTTGGAAACAGTTCTAACTGACAACGAAAAAATTTTACTTTTCCGAATGGGTGCAATTAGATCATCCTTTTCATGAGTCTCAACCTGTTCTAAAGTTGTAGTTGGAAGTATTGTGCTTTATATCTGGACTTGAATTCGTTGCAGGTATTGCGTCTGTTTTCATCAGGCAGTTTCTATTACGCTTCTCAAGATGACACCAGTCGGTGTATTGATTTAACTGTCAGATCTCACAAGTGCTCAAACTCTTCGAACGGCGACAGCCGTTTTTTCTGGTTAGTTTTGGTTATCGGTTGT